TACATATGTATGCATATGTATGTATGTGTGTGTATGTTTATATGTTATATATGTGTGTGTGTATATTTTATATGTTGTGTGTGTGTTTATATGTATATATATGTGTGTGCATACACACACACACACTCTGAGGAAACCAAGTGTCTCCTGTGGTGGGCCCCATCTACCTTTTATCAGGACAGTTGTGTTAAAATACACAACATGCAATCCGATGTGAGTTCAGGCAGCAGCAAGGTCTGCAGAACCCAGAGAGCACAACCAGCCCTTCTCTGCGCCTCTTTTGGCTTAAACTTGCACAGGATTGCACACTTAGTGTCCATAATACCACACCAGTCTTTTAAAAGATGATTTAGGAGTAGATGGTGCAGAAATGAAAAGAGAAGGGGATTGAATATTTTAAAGGAACACGTGTTTTAAAACCTGCTGTTAGCGAAGATCAGGGCGCTAATCTGATTCAGAAAGGGTGGCACGTTTAGCAAAAGGTCTATGTTAACAAGAGCTACATTTCGGCCCTGTAAAAGCCAAAGCAAAATAAAGATGACATTTAAGGTGAGCAGCCTGAAGCACTAGGGAGAAATATTGTGCAAACGTAGAAACAAAGGAGCCCTCATGGCTGGCTGGAACCAGTGGGGAAGTGCAGGTTTTTCTTTAAAGAAAGCGCACAGGCTTGAAACTCAACATTAAGAAAACTAAGATCGTGGCATCCGGTCCTCTCACTTCCTGGCAAATAGATGGGGAAGAAATGGAGGTAGTGACAGGTTTTATCTTCCTAGGCTTCAAGGTCACCGCAGACAGGGACTGCAGCCAAGAAATTAAAAGACGATCCTGGGGAGGAAAGCTATGGCAAATCTAGACAGCACACTAAAAAGCAGAGACATCACCCTGCCAACAAAAGTGCGTATAGTCAAGGCTACGGTTCTCCCAGTTGCAATGCATGGCTGTGAAAGCTGGACCATAAGGAAGGCTGAGCACTGAAGAACTGAGCCCTTTGAATTGTGGTGCTGGAGGAGACTCCTGCGAGTCCCTTGGACCGCAAGGCGATCCAACTGGTCAGTCCGAGAGGAGTTCAACCCTGACTGCTCTTTAGAAGGCCAGATACTGAAGATGAAGCTCAAATACTTTGGCCACTTAATGAGAAGGAAGGACTCCCTGGAGAAGACTCTGATGTTGGGAACGATTGACGGCAAGAGAAGAAGGGGACGGCAGAGGATAAGGTGGTTGGATGGAGTCACTGAAGCAGTCGGCGTGAGCTTAGGTGGACTCTGGGGGATGGTGGAGGACAGGAAGGCCTGGGGGAATGTTGTCCATGGGGTCGCAATGGGTTGGACACAACTTTGCAACTAACAACAACAACAATAAAGATGGAAGCATTCAAAAAATGTTGGCGGAAAGCTTGCAAATACCCTGCACTGACAGAAAATCAGACATGTGGGTCCAAGATCAAACCAAGCGAGAGCAGAAATGACCAAACCGAGGGGAGATTCCCTGGAGAAGCCCGTCACAGTAGGGAAAGTTGAAGGCAGAAAAAGAAAAGGAAGAGCAAGGAAAAGATGGACGGACTCCATGGAGGAAGCCGCAGCCTTGAATTTAGAACAGCGGAGTGGGGTGGGACATTTTGAAAGGCGCTCATTCTTAGGATTGGCATAAGTCGGAGGCGACTTGGCAGCACATAAAAGCATCCGACTTTCCTAGGGCTGCACCCCAAAGAAAACCGGAGAGCCTTTGCATACACATCACAGCTGAGCCGCGGCTCATTTTTTCGCAGCTTCCCATCCTTGTGCGACTGTTTCCCATGAATTCTGAAGTGCGGAGCCCAGAGGGCATCCAGCAGGTTCAGGGTGAAGCTCATGGGCTCACAAAGAAATCCACCTCCCTGCTTATAGAAGGCTGGTAAACCTAACACTCTTTCCTGTTACACAAACGCTTTCACTTCACAGTGTTTTGATTTCTTTTGCATGGAAGTGCATTTAACTGGGTTGCAAGGTCTTTCCACTTGTAAGGTTTGTAGCATATCAGAAGATAGGAGAGGTTGGCAAGCAGGGCAAAAGAGGAATTTGAGGAAAGACTGGCAAAAACAGATTAAATACCTTATATGCAAATAAGCTTGATTTGCATACTGTGCTGGTCACAGAAATCAGGCGACGACAGCAGAATATTAAGAGCTGGCCTCCTGGTTGCTCTTGTATAATTGCTTGCCTTTATTTTAAAATGCATTCATTGATTGCATCAATTAAAGGAGGTGTGTAGCACCCTTCAAAACAGCTTCCTGGGTGGTTTTGCACAAATAAACAGCTGTTTACGTTATGGATGTTTCCTTCATGGCACTCTCGGTAGAGCATGCTTAAATTGTTATTGGTAGCTGGTAGCTACAAGCTATCTCACATACTTTTGTCGCAATGTTTTCCTGTCTTGGAACCCCGCAATCAGCTTGCATGCTTAAAACATTTTTTGTTTTTTGTTTGTTTAAGATGTTACAGGAACCTTGTAAGAGTAACAGCTGCCCTGGAACTCCCTTTCCTATTTATGGAAGCAAACAATACCCATCAAATCCCACTTCTGAGTCAGCACTGGCTACAGTTCCTCTTTTATTTATTTATTTATTTTAGCATAGCAGGGATGGGTGGGGAGGGGGGAATATACTTTCATGAAAAAAAGAATGCATCTTGTAAAATGGCAAACTTTTCCAGTGGGAGGATTCTAAAATACAGCCCCACAAATCCTTTCCAAAGCCCAAACGATGCACCATTCTTCTGACAGCCAAAATTTTGCCATCCTTGAATCCTTCAATATGGATTGCCTCCCCAGAGTAACCCCAGAACAGTGAAGGAACTCACAGTATAACAGACCAACAGGTGGAGAGAAACTTACTCTTCTTGTCTTCCTACACTGGCTGCTGAAAGCGATGCTGCCAAACTGGGCCCTTCTTGACTCTGAAGGACGAATCTTGGTGCCCCATCGCAATTCCTAGGCAAGTGCCATGCCCCCGAATGTCCTCCTCCAGTTTCGGGTTTAAATCTGAGCCAAAGGGGGAAAAACACAAGGTCAGCCACCTTCAAAACACCCACCGACCTCTCTCCCTACCACACTAGTAAACATGGGACAGATAAATACGTGGGTGGAAGGGATACTGGAAGGGACGAGATGGAGGGAGGGTCCTGGGGGCAGCCAGAGGGATGGGTCCCTTCATTAAAAAAAAATTACACTCTGGCACGGTTTTCTGCACAATTCACAGAGAATGACAAGCCCTCTGCTCTAAAACAGGGGCGTGAATGGCTATCGATGGCTGGCAGCTACTTCTTTGCTCGGGGGCAAAGTATCTGCTGGAATGCAGCCAGCCAGAGAGAGCACTGGGCTTGCGTTCAGAGCATTGGAGGTTCAACCCGCAGCACCCCCCCGGTTGGGGCTGGGGAGGGCCCTTTGTCCTAACCCTGCCCCTCCCCAGCAACACTGTCCGTCAGCACATTTTGCTTGCCAAGGAACCCCGTCCCAGGAAAGACCTCCCCATGGAGCCAATGGGAAGCGGGGCTATTGCTCCTTCCCTCTCTCTGGCGCTCCTTCCCCTCCCTCACACCCTCCTGCCTCTTAGAAACATGGAAACAGAGCGAGTCAGAAGGGGTCTCCCGGGCCATCTAGTCTGACCTCCGGCACCAGCCGGCTCCGCTCACGACATGCCCTCTATGTGCACGTCTAGCGTCTCGCGGCTCCGTGTAACAAGCTGAAGCCACCCTTACAGGTCAAGACACTCTGGCTGGCTCTTCCCCAGAGTTTTCTGATCCCTCTTTTCAGCCAGGGGTGGAGCTGTGGTGCCCCAGTGGCATGATCTAATCCGGCCCTGTCAGTCAGAGGCCAGCCCCCCGAACAGCAAGATGGGGCCAACAGGTTTTGGTGGCATGCCAAAGCCACCAGTCCTGTTGTTGAATCACAGGAAGACAGAAAACAAAGCTGATCCACTCGGAGTGAGTCAGTGGCCGCAGTTGGGGAAATGTGAAAACAACCCCAGCTCTCCACCCCGGCGCACGCACTGCATATTTTAACAAAACAGCAACGCAATGGCAGCGTTCATTCTCGAATGTATCCGCAATGCCCTGTCTGGCTACCTTGCGGGGGGGGGGGGCTGTGGAGCATCTTTCCATCTGGCCAGATACCGTTCCTGCCTCCTCCCTCTTGGCACCCTGACGCTGCCCTGGCTGCATTTGCAAAATCTACCCATCTCTCCAGGAGTCGTCATTCCCCTAAACCTGTTGCACAGGCTCCATCCTTCCCCAATCTCCAGGTATGCGTTACCGGGACAGGGTACAGGAAACGGGGAGGAGGTGTGGGAACCGGAGGCCAAGCGGAGATCTAGGGGAGGAGTCTTGGAGGTGGGAAGTGATGAGGGACGGCTGGCCTGTTTTCCTTCTCCGTGCGTGTATAAATATCCCCCTTCCTGCGCCTGCAGATACGGCTCCTTGCGTGCCTGTCCCACCAGCCTTGCCTGTTGGAAGTGGGAAATTAGCACGGACGCCCGTGGAAAATCTGCAGAGGCGTTTCCTCTGCATGCCTGACACACAGGCCCGGAACAAGCGCTCCTGCTCATCCTTAGAATG